GCTAGTTCCAGGATTTCAGTGGTCAGGCACTCGAGCACAGCTGTCAGGTAGATGAGAATGCATCCACAGAACATCCTTTTCAATTCATTTGAGATTTGGGGCTGTAGTTGAGATATTATTTGAGCTTTTCAGATGTTAATTAGCTGCTGTTGGTTGTAGAAAACTGCCTTGTTGCCATGGTTACACATCATAACAAATGTCCAAAACTAAAAAAGTTTCAGTAAAAATCCTTCCAGCTGCACAGCATCCGATACCAGAGGAAGCAATCATCCAAAAAATGTGATTTACATCCAGAAAAAGAGGAATTAAAGTTTCCAAAAGCAAAATCTCCGAATGAAAGTAACAGAGTTGCTCCAACTTGCAGCCACCTTGAGTGGTGCAATTCTAGAAGCACCCACACCTGCCCCCACCCTCATGAGTCCCACTCTGGGCCCTTGAGCAAGGCCCTTAACCCCCACCATCTGTTCCTCTGGGTGTCCTAGATAGCAGCTTTCTGCTCCACACAGAGGGCTGTGGTAGCTCGGCGATCTGTGGTTGTGTCAAGAAGGCCATCTGGCGTAAAAAAAAAAAAACCTGTCAAGTCTTCAGGTGACTTAGTTCGCTGTGGCGACCCCTATTTTGGGAGCTGTGGCTGAGTGGTTAGAGCAGTCGTCCACCAGTGCAAAAGTTGGGAGTTCGAATCCACCAGCAGTCACATGCCGAAGTGTCCCTGGGCAAGCCACTGAACCTCACATTGCCTCCGATGTGTGTCCCATCGGTGTATGAATGTGACAAAACTCTGATTAGTCTCTTTAGAAGGATTTGTTCAATTAGCTTTGTAGAGCTCTAGTAGAGTGCTGTATGAATGGGTAAATGAGGGTACAGATTGTAGTGTAAACATCAAAGTCCATGATCAATAATCCAGGTATACAATCCAACATTTTTCAGTCAGGCCGGCAATGGAGGAGGGGGCGTACCAAACAGACCATCTAGCGCTAACCAAACTGGTTTCTTCCACTTTGGAGTAAGCTGTTGGGGGAAGAATCAGTTTTGTGTTGTGTGTTTCCATGACTGATGAAGCCTTCCGGATTGAAGGCGAAACGTTTCAGCACAACAAAAGAAACTGTCCAGATGACCTGACTGAAAAATGTTGGATTGTAGTGTAAAGCGCTTTGAGTATCTCGATAAGATAGAAAGGCGCTATATAAGTACAGTCCATTTACCATTTATATAAATAAACTGAATTGAATTGCTCTCTAGTGGCTGGTTGTTATAAAATATATAAATATATAGCAATATAATATTAGAAAGCATAGTCTCCCCAAATGATAAAGGTGGTCAGTTTACATGTTTATATGATGGTGGACAACCAACTCCCTCCCTCCCAAGGCAAGAAACCTCAGGGGAAAACTGTGGCAGCAGGGGACATGAGCTTTTTCACACAGACAGGCCACTTTGGCAGTCCAGTAGATTCAGTGTTTGAGAAAAGCAAAACAGAATTTGATTCAAAATGAACATTTGTAGATTGCAATGAACTCTGAAAACAGAACTCAGTGCTCTAAAGCTCACAGTGCTTAATCAACATGAACACAATTGTAATACATTTGCTTGTTTATCTCTTTCAGCTTGCATTCATATCAGCATGTTCAGCAGGGTTTAATGCTGTCACTTTACATAATGTGGGGTGGCTGTGGCTGAGTATTTAGAGCAGTCATCCTCCAATGTGAGAGTTGGGAGTTCGAATCCACCAGCAGTCACATGCTGAAGTGTCCCTGGGCAAGACAGTGAACCCCTCATAGCCTCTGATATGTGTCCCATCAGTGTATGAATGTGATCTAAAGCACTGATTAGTCTCAATAGAATGATTTGTTCCATTAGCTTTGTAGAGATCTAGTAGAGTGCTGTATGAATGGGTAAATGAGGACACACATTGTAGTGTAAAACGCTTTGAGCATCTTGAAATAAGATAGAAAGGTGCTATATAAGTACAGTCCATTTACCATTTACCATTTAATGCTGAAAGTTCAAAACCAGGCTGCTTGGGTGAAATCTGCATGTTCTCCCCATGCATGTGTGGGTTATAATATGCATTTGAAATTGTCACTAGGTGTGAGTGAGAGTGTAAATGCTTGGTCAGTCTCTTTGGTCTCGACGTGGCCCTGTGAAGCATTGATAATATGTCCAGGTTGTCCTCTACCTCTGTCCGAGGAGGAGATGACATATGGGAGGGATGGAGGCTGAGCTCCTGGAGACAGGAGAGCTCCAGGAGAGAGGAGGCAAAGATAAGGGAGAGCCTGCAGGAGAGAAGGCTCCCTCTGTAGGTTGTCGGCATCTGAGCCGCGGAGCTCGGTGCCTCAGATTGGCGAGTTTCAGGTGGAAACGCGTCATCCCCCACCGCCTTTCTCAGGTGTTGTTTTAACATTCCCCATGACCTTCTCAGATCTCATCTGAGAGCTACGTCAGCTGAGGTCTGAAAAGGTCATAGGGGAGGTTACGGGGCCCAACGAGAACACCCTTCGGCACAATTTCAGAAACCTGGTTTTTAAGACACTTGGAAACATTAGCATAGCCAAAGTGTGTCCAGAGACCAAGTATCCAGCTCCCTGTGACCTGGAAGACAGAAGTGGGTCATTGAAAGAGAAGGATGAAAATGAATGATATCCTGATGCATGCTCAATAATCCAGGTAGAAAAATCCAAAAAAGTTCAATCTGGACATTCAAAAAAAAACAACAACAAAAAAAAAAAACAAAGCAAAAAATGTAGAAACGTTTCGTCTCTCATCCGAAAGACTTCCTCAGTCTGAGGTGCTGTATTCAGCTCAGTCTCTTAAATAGCACCTTCTCAAAGTGGAGCAACCAGTTTGCTGCTGACAACCAAAACCAGCTGCTCACATGCTCAAGAAGGACCATCAGCCTAACAATGGATCATTAGCACACTGATGGCTGTTTACTATTCACAGGGGGTTGAGTGATACTAGCAATAACAGCATTGTAAGAGGGGGACAGTTGAACCCGGAGGCCTCCACCCCTGTTTAATTATGGATGATTTCTTTTCACAAAGATGGCCTCCTTTACTCCTCTCTCAAACCATCGTTCCTCTCTGTCCAGGATGTGAACATCTTCATCCCTGAAAGAGTGAACGCTGGCCTGGAGATGAGTGTAGACCGCAGAATCCTGGCCTGATGATGTTGATCTTCTGTGCTGGGCCATCCTTTTGGCCAGTGGCTGTTTTGTTTCCCCGATGTAAGACTGATCACAGCCCTCCTGACACTGAACAGCATACACAATATTACTCTGTTTGTGCCAGGGTACTGGATCTTTGGGATGAACCAGTCTTTGCCGTAATGTATTTTGGGGTTTAAAAGCCACCGGGACGTTATGTTTAGAAAATAAACGTCTCAGTTTCTCTGATACTCCCTCAACATACGGAATTACCACTGGTCTGGGTCTGGGTTCCTCCTTTTCACCTGATGGCTGACTGGAGTCCTGTTTAGGTTTCTTCTCTGCTTTCAGGAAGGCCCAGTCAGGATATCCACGTTGCTCTAGAGCCTGTCTTGTGTATGATTTCTCCTTCTGCCTGGCTCCTGAGCTAGTGGGGATGCTGTCTGCTCTGTGATACAGAGTCCTGATGACTCCTAACTTGTGCTCCAAAGGGTGATGGGAGTCAAACTGCAAATACTGGTCTGTG